AAAAATGATATTGCATATTAAATTAAAAATTCAGGAATTATTTATGTCATTCACCGCCGCCTAAGAAAAAGAAACTCTTTTTAGTCCTTTGTGCTTGTTTTCTTCATGGGCCACTTGGCAACGGCAACAAATGACAAACACAACCCCGTTCATGCCGTCCGGACAGTTGTCCTGTTCGGAGTCCTTTTTCTTCTCCTGAATGCAGACTGTTAAAGGATATCAAATCTGGAATCTGATATTCAGTAGATCTCTAGCAACCATTCCCGATATTCAACAATCGCTCCTGATATTCAGCGAATCTCTTGTAATCACTCCTTGATTTCTTTCTGATTTATTGTTGATTTGTTTATATCTTTAACTTCTTATAAATAGAAGCTGAAAAGAGAGATAAAGATGTACAAAAACATTCATAAAAATTACAATATAGTTTTACGTTTTTAACATGGTATCAGAGCTTTTCTAGCGAAAGCTTTCTTTTATTCTCAAATGGCATCCTCGCCTTCTTCAACATCTGCTTCGATCTCAAGTACCATCCCTGGCTTAACAACCCAGGTACTTGGATCGACAGCCACTGGAATTCCTGCAAATTCCATCTCCTGTCCAGCAATTGGAGTCAAGCTCACAGGAGACAATTTTGTTATTTGGAGGGCACGCCTATTACCGTGTCTTCGAGCAAGCAAACTACTACCAATTGTGGAAGGATCTTCAGTATGTCCACCTAGCCAAATTGTGCAAACAGCAAATGGAACAACCACCACTATTCCGAACCCAGCATATGATGAGTGGGTAACACGCGATCAAATCGCACTTGGGTGGATTCTTAGCACGACATCCGATGCCATCGTCGATCAGCTTTCGAATTTCAACACATCCGCAGAAGCATGAGAATTCCTTGGTACATCTTATGCTGCTCATAATCTTGCTAGAGCAACTCATCTTAGAATGCAGCTGCAAGCTCTTCGGAAAGGTAACCAAACAGTTACGAAATTTCTTCAACAAGCCACTGTTCTTGTTGACCAACTCGCTTCGATTGGCGAGATTATTTCCGATCATGAGTATCAAACTCACATTTTTCGTGGATTGGGAGCCGAATATCAAAGCCTTGCAGTATCCATATCAGTGCAAAGTCAAAATCAAACAATGACTAGAGATGCCCTTCACGGTCTCATATTGTCCCATGAAGCACGCTTAGACCTCATGGAGTCTACTGTTGCTTCACTGGCTGCTTTTGCTGCACATTTTGATGGGCCTACAATGGTTTCCTCACAACCTCAAAGACCACGACAACAACATGCTGTCAGATATTCTCGAGGTAATAGGCATTCTTTCCAAAAACGGAATCAAGAAGGAAGAGACAGAAATTATCGAGGGGCTCGCCAACAATATCACAATCGGAATCTTAACACCAATTTCAATCCATATTTTGGCAATAACCAGAGTCAGAGATGAAGCAATCTTCGGTGTCAGATTTGTAACAAACACGGTCACAGTGCCAATGTTTGCCGTGACAGATATCTTCAGCATCTACCATCCGAATTTTCTCCTCAACTCAACTTGGCTGAAATTCCTCCTCCACCTTCCACCTTCTCCAGTGAATCCCGGTATCCTGATTCTGGTGCTACCCACCATGTGACAAATAATCCTTCCGGTCTGTCTAATGTTCAGCCTTATTTTGGATCCCAACAAGTCACCATAGGTAACGGGTCCCATCTACCCATTACTCACACAGGTAACTATGTTTCTCCTCATTTTCGTATGTCTAATGTTCTCGTTGTTCCCACAATCAAAAAGAATTTGCTATCTGTATGTCAGTTTTGTCAAGAAAACAACTGTGATTTCCTATTCTCATCAAACTCCTTTTCTGTAAAGTGTCGTCACACGGGGAGGACTCTACTTCAAGGGGAAACTGATCACGACCTTTATTCCATTCCAGCGTCTTCTTCGCAATTGTCATCTCCGTCCGTGTTCCAAGCCTCTACAACCAATCTTGTTCGTTTGTGGCACAACCGACTTGGTCATGCCGCCTTCTCAGTTGTTTGTCAAGTTCTTAATAAATCACTGGTGGCACTCTCACCGTATCCTGCACGTATGTCCAGTAAGAGTCATAGTCAATTTCATACACCCACCCATCATAGGCCTACCTTTCCGTTGCAGTTAATTCACTTTGATGTATGGGGTCCAGCTCCTGTAACCTCTACATCTAATAATCGGTATTATATTTATTTTGTTGATGACTATTCCAAATTTACATGGCTATACTTGTTGCAATCTCGTGATCAATTCCTCTCCATTTTCTCTGCGTTCCTTAATTTTGTGGAAAATCAATTTTCCACCACGGTCAAAGCCATTCAGTGTGATTGTGCACGCAAATTTCTCTCGGCCTCTTTTCAGCGTTTATTATACGATCGTGGCATTCATCAAAGGACTTCATGTCCTCATCAACATCATCAAAATGGCACAGCTGAGAGAAAGCATCGCCATATTATTGAAATGGGCCTTTCAATGCTTAACCATGCTTCTGTGCCGCCTCGCTTCTGGGATTTTGCATTTGAGACTGCAGTACATATTATCAATCGGCTGCCGACACCAGTTCTACAGAACCGAACACCATGGGAGACACTTCATAAAGCTATTCCCTCTATTAAGCACCTCAAGGTTTTCGGGTGTGCGGTTTACCCCAATCTTCGATCTTATGCAAAGAACAAGCTCCAATCCAAATCTCATTTATGCATTTTTCTAGGATATTCGTCGTGCTACAAGGGCTACCGTTGCTATTCTCTAAGAGATCGTCGCATCTACATCACCAACAATGCAATTTTTGATGAGCAATTATTTCCCTTTACTACCTCTGGTCCAATGAATACTTGTCAAACCATTGTTGCGGCTCCAGAATGTCTTATGCTCCCTCCATTTTTGAACAAAAACATGCAACAACCTCAGTCAATGGAGCGCATCTCTACTGCCCCAACTAATTTTCTTTCTCCTGTACAGGTTCAGCAAAATTCTCCAACACCTTTTTCAGAATCGGAGTCATCTTTGCTCCCAGATCCACCCACTACGGATGTTTGAAATGATAGTGACAACTCTCCTTCACTGCCAGCTGCCTCATCTCATCCTATGGTGACAAGGCTGCGTGATGGAACTTTGGCACGGCTTCAACTTCGGGTTGATCACACTTATGCCCTGCAAACCGAAGCTTCCTTAATACCAACACCGACTTCCTTCACTCAAGCAAATAAAGATCCAACATGGCGAGCGGCTATGAATGAAGAATACACTACCTTGATGCACAGTCAAACCTAGACCCTTGTATCTCCACCGAAACAGTGCAAACCCAATGGTTGTAAGTGGGTATTTCGAGTTAAGCTGAAGGCCGACAGATCCCTTAAAAGATACAAGGCTCGGTTAGTCGCCAAAGGCTTCAATCAACAAGAAGGGGTAGATTTCCATGAAACTTTTAGTCCCGTGGTAAAACATGTAACGGTTCGCACCGTTATTTCTCTTGCCTTCAGTCAAGGATGGCAACTTCGACAATTGGACGTAAAGAATGCTTTCCTCCATGGTCATCTTGAAGAGGAAATTTATATGCAGCAGCCTCCAGGCTTCGTCGACTCTACTCATCCTCACCATGTATGCCGTCTTCAACGTTCACTTTATGGACTAAAACAGGCACCGCGTGCATGGCACCAACGACTAAGTTCTTTTCTTCTCTCTCTTGGGTTTCAAGTATCTCGCGCTGACTTCTCTTTATTTATGCTTCACTCGGCAGCATACAGTGTTTTTCTCTTAGTATATGTAGATGATATAATTTTAACTGGGTCGCCCTCAGCGCCTTTATCTGCTCTAATCGAATCCCCGCAACGAGAATTTGCTATTAAGGACCTCAGCGAGCTTCATTATTTTCTCGGCATTGAATTGCAAAGAACTGACAAAGGTCTACTACTCCATCAAGGCAAGTATGCACACGACATTCTTCAACATACCAATATGCAAGATGCTCGACCAGTCACGACTCCTTGTGTTACTGGTACTGACCCGTCTTTACTGAAGCACGGAGCTTTATTTCATGATCCTACCTTATATCGTAGTACTGTCGGCGCTCTCCAGTACCTTACCATCACTCGGCCGGATCTTGCCTATGCGGTGAATACCGCGTGTCAGTACATGCATGCTCCCACCAATGCACATTGGCAATTCGTTAAGCGTATTCTGCGTTTTCTGCGTGGTACTACTAATTATAGCATTCTACTTACTCGCAGCTCTACTTGTCAACTACATGCTTTCTCCGATGCAGGTTGGGCAGGTGACCATGACGCTCGTAGGTCTGTTGGTGGTTATAGTGTCTTTCTTGGATCTAATCTTATTTCCTAGAGCTCCCGTAAACAACGAACAGTAGCTCGCTCTAGCACCGAAGCGGAATTTAAGTGTCTAGCCGATCCAACGGCCGAGCTCATATGGATAGAAGCCTTATTACGCGACCTCCATGTCTCCTTGCCGAGTCTTCCTGTCTTATGGTGTGACAATATTTCGGCTATTTACCTCACTGGTAATCCCGTTTTTCATGCCTGAACGAAGCATGTTGAGATTGACTATCATTTCGTTCAGGAACAGGTGGTTCAGAAGCAACTCCATGTTCAGTACATCTCCTCCATAAATCAACCTGCGGACATCTTCACCAAAGCCCTATCTACCACTCGATTTCGTCTATTGCAGTACGAGCTTACTGTGAGATCTCTCACATCAGCTTGCAGGGTGATGTCAAAGGATATCAAATCTGGAATTTGATATTCAGCAGATCTCTAGCAACCATCCCGATATTCAGCAATCGCTCTTGATATTCAACGAATCTCTTTTAATCACTCCTTGATTTCTTTCTGATTTATTGTTGATTTGTTTATATCCTTAACTTCTTATAAATAGAAGCTGAAAAGAGAGATAAAAATGTACAAAAACATTCATAAAAATTACAATATAGTTTTACGTTTTTAACACAGACAAAATGGGGTTTCCCTTCTCTGCCATCCATCCCTCTTCATCACTCCCCTTAAGGCAACTGTTGTTCATGCGGTGGCGCGATTCAGACATTTCAGAAGAAGTCTCTGAAACGTGCTTCAATCGGCGAAGAACCTTTTTGATGGGAAGGATTTTCATCTCGAGACGTTAGTGTTAGTGCGATCATGATCTTGATGAACACTCTCTCCCTCTTACGTAATGCCTCCCCACTAAACACTCGCTAAAACACAGCATATAAAACAAGATCGAGTCACCTAATCCTGTCTTCTTGCGTTCGATTGGAGCATTTTCGGTATTCTCTCCAATTGCGCAAAGACACAGGTGGAGCAGCTGACTTTTTGGACTGTACCCATTTGGAAAAACGCACAGCAAAGTGCGTATAATTGGGCTTTCAACACCCCCATTCTCTCCATCGCCTTTCGGTGTTTCCCTTTCCTGTCTATCCCGTCTGACACCCTCGCTCTCAGTCCCGTTTGACGCCATGGATTCTTGCGACTCTTCCACTGACAAGAGATCAGGTGATTGAGTCTATGGTCTTTGCTATTTGTTTTTTCCTTCTCGTGTCTGTTGTTCGTAAAGCTTCGAAATCTTATGTTCTTTTTGTTGGGGTGTAGATGCTTCAGAGATTGGCAATGCTTGTGATTCCAAAGTTCATGTGTTCTCGTCATCATCCGAGGTAAAAACCCATCATGATATATTTCCCTTGATCCTGGCTTTCCGCGCTTTATACTCGTTTTCAGTCATGTGCATGCGCAATAGTGTTTTGAGTCACGGTGCTGATGAATGGAACAAGATCACAACTGGATGGGCAATTATAATTGATTTCCCTGCTTTTTAATGAATTGCCAAAAGCTTCGATCGACCTGATGATGGAATTAGTTCGAGGATGTTCAGTTTTTGGCCCAGACAATTCTAGGCAGGACATGTTCTTCCAGGCAATAATAGCTGAATGAATCCGTAGTGCCTTGCAATGGTCAATTTGGGGATGAGATGTTAATAGCAGGAAGGTCGAGTGTTTGAAGAATCTGATGATAAGGCGATGGTGTATTTTCCTCGGCTATGTACTAGGATGCAAAGTCAAAGCTACCGAAATTTTGCATAGATATCCTTTGAATGTGGTTGCCCTCTTGCGAACTGACTTCTGCCCTAGGAAAAGATTTGCACTCTGAAGAAAATTTGCTCGGCTTTCAAATGGTCTCCCGTCATTATTTCGTTTTTCCAGTTAGATGATACTACACCATGAATCCAGCGATGTAGGAGGCATCTCTCACAATGATTACCTGTTCAAACGAAACTTCTTGTTTTCTTGAAGTGTAGAAGTGTCAATGAACTGCCTCGGACCTTGTTTGTCCTATATCATGTGTCAATTTTATCGGTATTTCTATCAGCTGCTTGACAAGCTGCATGAGAAGTGGAGTTTGGCGAAAAAGCAGCCGTACCCTGCGATGTATTCAAGCGTTTTTGGTGGAATAATACTCGATCCAGCTATGATGGTCATACCAATTGATGATCACATGGTTCACAGAGGTCATGGCGTGTTTGATACAGCAATCATTTTGGATGGGTAAGCAAGGGTTATTGTATGGAGCACAAATATTATTGATACAAATGCTTTTTTCCAATTTTGCAGAGAAAGTCTAGTTACATGTATATTGTCTTGTTGGCTGCAGATACCTCTATGAACTGGATGTCCATTTGGATCGCTTCCTTAGATCAGCATCAAAGGCAAAAATCTCTTCTCCTTTCCCTCAGTCCACCCTCCGAAGAATTCTCATTCAATTGACTGTGGCGTCACAAAGCAAGAAAGGAACTCTGAGATACTGGTTAAGTGCTGGCCCTGGGGATTTTCTGCTCTCACCTGCCGGTTGCCCAACCTCTGCTTTCTATGCTGTGGTCATCGACGAGGACTTCTCTCAATGCAAAGAGGGAGTGAAAGTCATAACTTCCACGATTCCAATGAAGTCAGCTCTATTCGCTACCATGAAGAGTGTGAACTACCTACCAAACGTGCTTTCCAAATTGGAAGCTGAAGAGCAGGGAGCATTCGCTTCTATTTGGGTCGATGACGAAGGTTATATTGCTGAAGGACCGAACGTGAATGTGGCTTTTGTAACGCACGAGAAAGAGCTGATCTTGCCCGTGTTTGACAAGATCCTCAGCGGGTGCACCGCCAAAAGGCTTCTTCAGCTGGCTCCGAAACTGGTCGAGCAGGGACTGCTCAAGAGTGTGAAAACTGCCAATCTAACTGCAGAGGAAGCCAAAGGCGCAGCCGAGATGATGTATGTGGGAAGCACCCTTCCTCTGTTGCCGATAATCATGTGGGATGACGAACCTATTGGAGATGGTAAATTCTCTTCTCCTGATTACCTTGCCAATCTTCAATTTTTCCTTTGGCAAATACTGTGAAGATAAAACATGAAGTCCTTTGATTGCATATCATAAATTGTACTGGGTGGACTTTAAAGGTTTGTGCACTGTTGACCTGCCTTCATCAGTCACCGAAGGTTTCGAGGACTTCAGACAAGCCATTCTAAGAAATGAGATAACTTCATGGATGAATGAGACCCTTTCTCTAATACTGTTTTGGTTGACAGATTATACTTTGTGTTCATTGCAGGGAAGGTGGGAGAATTAACAATGGCACTTTCTGATCTGGTTTGGGAAGACATGGTGGCCGGTCCGGAAACACAAAGGTTGCGCGTTCCGTACGCGTAGAGAACCTCCATTTTATCCGATCTTGGAGGCGAACTCGAGATTGTTAAATCCTTTGATTAGCCTTCTTGCTGCAATTTAAGGAGAGCTTTCTGTATCATATTCTCCTTGTTCTTGTGTTAAATGGCAAATAAAAGATTGGATAGCTCTGCCTCTGAAAGTTCGCCTAGAGAGGAAAAAAAAGAGAGTTTTTGCAGTTGAAACTAAAATTACTAAATAATTTTTCCTTCTTTCTCGGCTCGCGTTATTTCCGCCCCTCAAATAGCTTCGACGCACAATGAAATTCAAATGGTCCAAAATAGCCCGCGCCAGGATTTCATTATTAGTGAGATTGATGAAAGAAGAAAAAATTAGCTTTAATGTAGATCAATCAATGTAGTGATTTTATCAACCTTCATTTAGATATTGTTTCTTCTTCTTCTTCTTCTTCTTCTTCTATGCTCAAATCGCGGAAATTTGCAGAAATTTGCAGCTTCATTTCTTTTTTACGAGAATCATCTAATATTCAAGTATATTAGGAAATTTAATGTTCTCGATTCTAATTAAAAGAACATTAATAAAGTAAATTTATTTACAATGGCACTCTAAAGTTTAATTTGTAATAACTCCTTGTAATATAAATTTTTTTAGTTCAAGTTTTTTTAGGGGATTAAAGTTGATATTGTTGTGTCAATCAATAAAGATTGCTGGCAATGTTCAAACTCATTACAAAAATCCATTTAGAGAAATTAGTTGAGCACATTAGTAACCAGAAGAGAAGAAATAAAATTTGTATATATAGAAATGAAAGGAAAATATCAGGAGGTAGTGAAATATATATCATTGTTTCGATTAATACAGATAGTCGTGTGTTCATAACGACTTGAAACTTTTGTACTTTCAATAAATGGTAACTTTCGCTAATTCCATTGGCGGTTTTGATTAATTAATCTTGTTGAGTTTATTTTCATCAACTCAATAAGGTAGGGAGCGTTATAGGCATTTGGAGTGTGAAAATACCTTGAGCCTATTTTATTTTACCAATATGGATAATATTTGCAATACGGAATCGATTATACTCAAATGAAACTATTCATTTCTTTTTTAAGCAAACGGAAAATTAACATGACCTTCGCATGGTCATCTTTGCACCACTCCAGATGACCGCTTGCAAGGCTATGGAGATAGGTGAAAGCACGGTTTGACATTCTACATTCAATGTGTTGAGATTAGATTAGACGGGATAACCTTTTTTAACGAAATCTCGATCGGCATCTCATTCTGATAGAAAATCCACAAAACTAGCTAAGCAGCGAACGAATACGTTCAAAGAGGGTGATCTAACATAACATTGTTGATTTGATGCCCATATAATTATGGAAATTACAAGTCGAAGGGGGAAATGCATTGCGAGATCTTCTTTCTGTTACCTACAAGCAAAGCACTTCGCCGCGAGTCGATAATCCGGATGAAAGTTTTCAAAATTGTGTCAAAAAAAAATCGAATAGGATTCTTAAATGGCACGCGACCGAAAAGTAAAAGGAAAAAATCTCAACATTTCATAATTCTTAGTTGTACAATTTCACTTCGACTTTCAATATTGCACGAGAGATAAAATCGATTGATAGAGTAAAAGTCACCAAAAATCTCAAATTATACCCATTGTGACATATTTACCTTAAATTTAATCTGAAACTTGTACCTATGTGACACATTTACTCTCATGAACCGTTAAAAACCCGCCTAATTGAACGCCAGAAAGCAAATGGTGTTGACATGTCTACACAACTTAAATGAAATAAAAACGACTTTGTTCAGACTAAAAAAAATCATCCAACGGAACAGTGGCGGAAGGTAATTATGTCACATAGGTACAAGTGTTGGGATTTTCTATGTCACAAGAAAAAGTTTAGGGTAAATATGTCACAGTAAGTATAATTTGAGTGTTTTGATGTCACGAGAAAAAATTTAGGATAAATGTGTCTGGGAATAACTTTAAATTTTTTGCGTGGCTTTTTTTTTCTTAACTCCTAAGATTGATCAAAAGTAGTGGGTCATTTTCCTAATAAAGGAGGAAAAAAGGCAAAAATAGCGCTTTATCGCACCGAGACTCGCGCTTCTAAATTAGACCAGCACGCTCGCTCACTCGCACGAAAGCGAGGCGCAGCGAGAGAAATCTCCAAAGGAGGTTGGCGAAGGAAGGGGTTAATTCCAAAAAAAAGCATAAATTTTAGGTCGAGGGATAATTTTTGTTCGAACTTTTTTTTGTTCCATAAAAAAGCATCAATTTTAGATCGATGGACAATTATGGCCCGAACTTTTTTTTGTCCCGTAAAAAAATACCAACTTTAGGTCGAGGGACAATTCTGGCCCGAACTTTTTTTTGTCTCGTAAAAAAACGCCAATTTTCATTTAAATCTCAAATTTGGCCCCCCATTAACTTTCCGTCTGAAGTTATCCTTGTTTGAGAAAAAAAGTTATGGTGGTGAGCCTGGCGAATCTCTTCCATGGCGTCTGTCGACGGACGATGGTCTACAGCTTCAGATTACGACAAAATGACGAAGTTTTGCCAGAAAGATTTAATCTGGAGATATTTTTGACGTGCCGGTGAAGTGAAGGAGACGAACAGTTTTACCGTTATTCTTCAAGCTGTGGTTCAGAGAATAAGACAATGAATAATGCTTTAAATCCGGTCAGCAAGTCACGTGGATTTGTTGCTAAGGTGGAATAGTTAAATTGGAAAATCAATGGTTTTAAGTCAATAAGTGCCAGATTTGGGATTTAAGTGAAAGTTGGTGTTTTTTAGGAGACAAAAAAAAGGTTGGGCCAGAATTGTCCCTTGACTTAAAGTTGGTGCTTTTTTACGGGACAAAAAAAAGTTCGGGCCATAATTATCCCTCGACCTAAAGTTGATATTTTTTTATAGAACAAAAAAAAGTTCGGGTCAAAATTATCCTTCAAACTAAAGTTTGCGCTGTTTTTTTGGGATTAACCCGCGAAGGAAGTATCGATCGGTCACATCGCACGCACGCACGCACGCATCACTTCGTTCGGCCGCGATTAGGGTTCACTATCTCGTCACCACCACCGACCAAAAAAACTCTCTCTCTCTCTCTCTCTCTCTCTTTCCATGGCGACGTCACCAACCGAGGAGACCCCGCCCCCGCCGCCGCCGCCGCCGCAGCAGGAGGACCCACCGGCCGCGGCCGGCGCGGCGAAGCCGGGCCTGAGGAAGCCCGTGTTCACCAAGGTGGACCAGCTCAAGCCCGGCACCAACGGCCACACCCTGACCGTCAAGGTGCTCGAATCCAACCCGGTTTCCTCCCAGCTCCGCCACGCCCGCATCGCCGAGTGTCTCATCGGGGACGAGACCGGCACCATCGTCTTCACCGCCCGTAACGATCAAGGTCTCGGCTTTTCCTTCCTCTTCTCCTCCTCCTTTCGAGCCTGCATTTAGGTCTCCTCTTTTTATATGCTCGCGGGTCATTCCGTACCTTTTTTTTTTTTCTGTTGATTTCGGATTTCTGGCCTCTCTCGCGTGGTTGCTTCGATTTGACTGGGGATGGTAGATTTGAGGCTCGGCTGCTGGAATTTAGTGCATTTTGAAGTGTTTGGAGCAGAACTCGTGTTTCAAGCCATGAAGAATTAGCATTGTTGTGATCATTGTCCCCCTAAGGTTGAGACACCTTCCGTCTGTTGATTCGTTTTAACATGTAACCGAGAAGATCTTCCTTTTTGGGGTGTTTCATTGGCGATGGGAGAAGAAATTTCTAGATTGTGCGGCAGAGGAAATTGAATCAAGAGAAAGGTGGAGAAATGCACACACATTTGTTTGATTGTGAAATGTAATGGGAGGGGACGGATTTTTTGTTCGGTTGGACAGCTTGATCTTCCCGCTTTGCGAGCCCCGGGGATGCCATTGTGCCATTTATTGATTGCTTAACCAGAAGAACCTTTCCGTGCTACTACTACCTGTAATTTAGTAAGGAACTTTCCCACGCGTTGTGAGATACTCGTGTATGTTTGATCTTCTCTAGCTTTGTCCTAATGATGGACCTAAGGGAAGCGAGTACTTCGAGTACAAGGTGTCTGAAAATGAAGATCTGTGAGACCATGTGGCATGTCCTCTCTAAGTTGAGCAAACGAGGAAGCCAAAACCATTCTATTCAAATTTGATGTGATTGATTGGATACGATTGTTTTGCCTTCGCAGATTGTGTGCGGCCTACATGGGCTTGCACGTTAATGTACTGATTGGCCCTGGCCATGGTGCGTTGAGTCTGGGCAAGAATTTTTCTCGTGTGTGGAATGATTTATTTATTATTATTGAGCTAAATGGAGTATGCTAATGGACTTATTTGATAGTTAAGTTTTCTAGGTCACTAGAAAAATGATCTAGGAGTGGTGTAATATCATTTTCCAATAGTTTCCATGTTTTGAAAGAAATAGAAACCTAGTACGAGCGAGACTTTCCCTTCTGATTCTCTCTATTTTCTTCCATTTCTCTTCTTCTATTTACTTAAACTGCTAGCTGCAGCAGATACTTTTTTGTGTCTGATTTCTTGACTTTCTTTGATTCCTTCTGTGTTATTTTTGTGCTGAATTCCATGGGCACGTGACTTAATTGATTGTTTAACAGGGTTGCTTTTAATGCTTTCCTGTTACTTGATCATGCATCTTCTGATACGCATGAACTTAAGTACATATATCCTTTTTCTCTAGGAGATTATGTAGTGCATCTGTTTTGGAATGCTTTTCCTTGGGGATCCCTTGTAAGACCACAAATCACAATGTTCTGTGCAGTCCAGCAGTTAGTCTACATATGGTGACTCTGTAATCTTTACCTGGATATCAGAAATATTAAGTTCGATTGGTGAAAGTTCGGCACATTTTATTAGTACTGGGAAGTGGGCTTAACAAACTGTTTCTTGGCTATTTGAGTGAGACCGGCATATAAACTTAGCAACAATGAAAAGAAGAGATTGGTGTGTTTTTCTCATGGCTCTAGCCAATGTTAATAAGTCCTGACATTAAGAGAGCTAATTAAAAGTTGTGATTTTTTTTTTTGTTAATGACTTTGTTGCAATTTTAGCTGCTCTACTTTGGATGCTTTCTTAGTGTCCGATTTTGCTGATCACTTTTCTGATTCAGCATGGCTTTGTTTTCACTGGAAAAGTTAATGATTTACATCTGAGGATCTCTGTTGTTGCTTGGTTTTCAAGTGAATCTCTCTGTTTGACAATTTCCAATCAATCTTCTGATGACATTGCTAAAGCTTATATGTATGACCAGGGGACATGATATAAATCCATCTTATTTAATATAAGTGATCCTACCCCTTCTTAGTGAGTTCCTAACATATTTATCATATGTACAGTTGATCTGTTGAAGGCTGGTGCTACTGTGATTTTGCGCAATGCCAAGATCGATATGTTTAAGGGTTCGATGAGGCTAGCAGTTGATAAATGGGGTCGCGTCGAAGTCACAGAACCTGCCGATTTCACAGTAAAGGAGGACAACAATCTCTCCATGATTGAATATGAGCTGGTAAATGTCGCGGACGAGTAGTTGATATCTGTTTGCAGCATCGTCATCTCGAGCTAACGTTAACTTTAAGAATTTCTTAGGCTGTTACAGTCGGTTTGTTATTATAGTTTCCCGATATATGCTGGTACTATTGGTATACTTTATGTCCGAGATTCTACTTTGACAAGTATGGAATGGGAAGGTTTCTACTTTCTGGGGTCCAGGCCAGGGATATAATGGATAAGCAAACGACTTCTTCAGGTCCTGACATGGATTTTACTAGTGAATAGTTCCTTCTTTTATTTACTCTGCGTTATGAACGATGCCCACGTAGTGCTAACCTGAATGTTCATGTTTGAAATCAACAAGGTAAATGCGTTTTCGTGACGAATCCAATAATGCAATGACCAAATATCGATGGATTGAATCGAGCCATATATTTAGAAGGTCTATTATGGATTTGGGTGCAAGTATGATTAATCAAACATGCAGACATCTGTTCTTTTCCCATGATGATTGCTCAGTAATGAATTTGGGGAGTCGACGGGTAAGTGCATGAACAGATTCCTTATCATTTCCATAGAACATATGAGTTGTCCCAATATTTTAAGCCAAATCCGAAAGTTTCGGATAGACCCCAGAAGTCTGGTCAAATGCATGAATTTAAGAGGTCCCAACCACCGTGGAGGGTCCGAAGGACAGAACGTCAACAACGCTACGTCTGTGGTGGAATAAGTTGGCTTTCAATCGACAGTTTATGTATATAAAATATGTAGACACTTGATGAAGCGTCCTAGCCAATACCTGAACTGTCAGATGCATGCACTTGTCGGGTACAATAGTATCACGGTGACCTTTTCACTTGCAATCGTTCTAATACCGTCGAGTACCGTATAAAAGTCCCACCCAAAGATAAAATCACTTCAAGTTTGAAGGAGTAAGCTTATTGTTATGCAATGAAATACACTGAAAATTGAACACGGGGTGCATTCGATATTGTCTTTCTAACGCTTCAATAGACGTGTCTAGATATTGTCTTTCTAACGCTTCAATAGACGTGTGCCTAGACGACAGAATCACTCGAGCTTTAATACGGTGTTTGGATAATTGTGATATGTGGAGTTTGGAGTAGTAGGAATGAGTTTTGTATGTTTTGGAAGGTGATTTGTGAACATTTCGCTCATAACCGCACCATCTTGGTTATAAAGCATTATCGTACGGAGGTGCCGTAGCTATGAACTTGTGTTTCGCCGGTGTTAGTACTGCTCGCATTGCTGCAAACTTGGCGAGTAATACGATGTTAGAGGACAAGTTCCTCCTAGTTTCTGAGCCCTACTAAAGTTGAGGGACTTCTTTCATTAATCTTTTGTTTATGGGTCGACGCCTAAAGTTGAGGGGTGTGGTGGGGAATTTGCCAAATATAGAAGAGGAAGTACATGTACATTTCCAAACTTCATCACCCCTAAAATTTCTACTTCAAGAAACGGAATGAATTGATCAATGTGGGCCAAACTTTGTTTACATTATCAACTCCAACTGCTTTCTAGTCAATGTTGCCGCACAGCTTCCTGGTTCAATATGCGATCTGTCGTCCCAATTCACGTGCACAAGAGCTTGCTTCGATCTCCCATTTGATGGCTCTGCCCTTGGCTCATCATTACAGCGAATACCATCTCTCAAATTGCTTTTCTGATCTTTCCCATAACCTGGCATGATCTCTTACCCAAAAAGCGAAAAACCCATTTGGAGAGCGCCCTCATTGATCTCTCATCTTCAACAGATATTGAAGAATTAGTCAAATTATTACCCAACGGAAAGCTCGGTAGGTCTATAACTTCCTGTTATCTCGAGACATGCACATGCAACACAACTGAATGACTCAAATCGAATACATGTAGTTATCATTCTCAGCATTCTTTACTAACAACCGCCTCTTATGATTGCACATTTCTGTATGAAGTTGTGGAACGAGGATATGCACGGGCCAATATTGAAGCTTATCCTGATAACACGCTCCAAACACAAAATAAACCCCACAACCATAGCCAAAATGTAAGCAAAGTATTCCGTACCAGTTCATGCGTATGTGAATTTCACTCATATCATCAGAAAAACATAATGCAATATAAAAAATGGTACAGGATAATGTGTTTACCCTTTCCAAGAGTAGGACCAACCCACGTGAACAGACCAGTGACCCTGCTTGAACAAGTCTTCACTCCCTCTCTCTCCTCTATCTCTCTCATACCTTCCCAATTTCATATCATATTGGCTCAACTTGTGTCTCCAACCAATCCAAAACCTTATATAAAGACATCAAAAAGTGCAAAAACCCATATCCAGCTCTTAATCACACCAAGCTTCTCTTCATGTGTCGTGTCGGGTCCTAGAAGAGATGGAGTTTTTCCATGCCCATCATCACCTGAAGCCAAAACAGAAGCAGCAGCAGCAGCCATCGTCGTCCAAACAGGTCGCCACGAAGAGGCTCTCCCCAGACCAAGTGAGGCTCCTGGAGCGGAGCTTCGACTCCCACAAGAAGCTCGACCCAGACCGCAAGCTCCAGCTCGCGGCCGAGCTCGGCGTCCCGCCCAGGCAGGTCGCCATCTGGTACCAGAACCGGCGCGCCCGGTGGCGGACACAGACCATCGAGCTCGACTGCAGCGCCATGAAGCTCGAGCTCGACGGCGCGCTGGCCGAGAAGCGGAGGCTCGAGCGGGACGTCGCATCGCTCCGCCAGGAGCTCGACAAGGCTCGGGAGATGCTCGACGCCGCTCATGGCAATGGCCGGGACCGTGGCCGGGACCGCGGCGAGGGTGGCAACGGCGCCGTTCCTGAGGTTCCGATGAGCTGCGTGTTCAACGAGGACGACGTGAATTGGTGCGATTGGGACGATGGCAATGAGGTCCTGCGGATGGAGGATGGCGATGGCGACGACCTCCACGCCTGTTGGATGTTGACTAACAACGGGTCGCGCTCGGATTGAGGAGAGAGATCGATTGTCGTGTGTCCAAGTTGATCCTAAAGTAATTAATGTCGGACCATATTGACCAATGTTCCCTTGATGTAATTGTACTTTCTATTGGAACGAAAGGTCATCTTCATGTATGTTCTAACGTCAAGCTAAGTTTTTCCGCGCACTCGAAAATTTAGTCACCGTCATTTTTTTCTCTCGGGGAGAATTGATTGGTGGGTTACAATCCAGAGGTCACCCATCTTTAATTTTAGTTAATTTTACACGTAGTGCTATCTATAACTTATAACTCGCCAATCATGTATCCGATTGATGAAAATTTCTTTCAACATTAGATGAGGGAAATATAGCTCTTGTTAGTTTTTTTTCTTTTCACAAGTCAAGATATTAAATGCATATATATATGGATTAATATCATAAAAAACTCCAAATTGATACGCCTATATTAAATTTACCATAAACTAATTTTAGTACAACTTTGATAAATTTACCTTTCGTTGGTTTCTGTTAAGTTTTAACTTCAAATTGTTGAGTTCTATGACACGCGGTAGTTGACGGATGTACTAATTTGGGGTTTCACCCTCCGTTTGTCACAGATGTACCATTTTGTGATTTTTCGTGGCATTAATCCAATTTATTGGGAACTAACGGGGTTAATTTGTCACAAATGTACCGGTTTGGATTTTTTATTATAAAAAAAATTAGTCAGTGGTAAATTTATAAGTGTACCGATTTAGAGTATAAACCCTATGATCACTTGATTTTGGGCATGGGCAATGATGTAATTTTAGCGAGGCTAGTTGGGCCTTTTGAGAGGGGCCATAGTTGAATGACTAGCTTTGGGTAAGCCTAAACTAAAAGTCATACATCAACTTGCAAAGATGAAGAGAGAAGAATATTTAGTTATCTGCAAAATTTTCTGCTCCCATCGGCTTGATGAGAAGCAAGTTGCGGTCTTCTTGTGCCTGTTGAAATCATTCCGAGTCAAGATCGGCTGTTAGCTCATCACGTGATTCGTACTCGAGGACAAGAAAACCATATGCATGCACGTATGGAGATTGGGCCATGCTAAAGTTTGCTAAATTGATTTAATAAGCGATGTGATAGTCTATAAGTATTGAGTCGTAATCAATCATTAATAGCTCGTTTGTCACTTACGGCTCCGTTTGTTTCGCGGAAAATGAATGATTAAAAATTCGTTTTCTTAAGAATAATCGCTTGTATCGCTTGAAATAATTAGTAGATACAATATGTTTTTATTGCCTACAATAATCCAATCTCTAAATATTTTTGTGGACAGTGACAATACTTTTCGTTCATTCATTTTTGTAAGCGATGCAAGCGATCGATTTTATGATTTTTTTTTAAATTATTTATTTTTCGCGAAACAAATGAAGTCTTGGTACATCAGCAAAGTTTTACATTATGCAGCTCTTGACGACTGATGGCCATATGTGTCGTGTGATGGAAAAAGGTGCATCTGCCGTATATAACTCGTACAAAATCTAGCATTCTGGATAGACTTTCCTTTCCCATCGCAATATGTTTGGATGGGAATGCTTGTCTAAATCTAAATATACAGTTGAGGATTTATACCTCTTGGATCAAGATGATGTGTGCGAGTCAAAATCTAAATGGACGGTGCAGATATGGGATTGTTAATTTATGCTCGAATTTAGGGGTATCAACAGTTCGGGTTTCCATGATATCTGAACAGTTTTTTGTACATGTGTGTTTGTGACCCGAACAAAAAACACTGTTTGGTTCAGATCGAGGTGCAAAAGACGATAGTGAATGAGACTTTCATGGAGGCCGTTCTCTAAAAGGAAGACAGTGTGAGATTTAAAGTGTTTCGGTTTGGGTACCTGAACTGAACCAAAACTGTTTAGGTACCCATTTTCTTTTATCAATTACATAATCTCTTAATATGTTCGAATTTGAGTTCAAGTTTCGAGCTAGACCCGATTGACATTTTATAAAAGTTGAGCTTGAGCTTAAAAGTAGAGCTTGATTAAACTCGAGTAGAGTCGAGTTAGGCTGCATCTCGATCTATAGCCAAAATAAGGCCGGATATGATAGAATATAAAATCAAGGGATCTTGCTGTATTCTATCCATTCCGTGATGAATCGTGGAAATAAAATCGGATATGTTCATATCCTATCATGTCAATTATTTGATAGGAACTGCACATCAATGTAAATGAATACGAAAATGCACTAATGAAAATGGTAAAAGTCTATCGTGATTCACTTTTAAGGAACCACAAAGGCACAAACGGATGCTACCTCAAGCAATCAATCCATGATTATTGTATGATCTAAATCTTTAACGGCAAAGGAGCGCATTGTAGCAATTCAAAGGCACATGTTCGACCGTGATAATAAACATAAACGGTCTACACCAACATCGATGCGATTTTTCTAGATCTTTGAGAGGGTAGGTTGAAGGTTCTTTTAGAAATCTCTTTACCCCTCATTCTTTGAGAATCGGAAAGATCTTTTTTCAAGTTTGAATTTATTTCTTTAAAATCCGAATTCTTGTACTTTAATTCTTTCTTTCATTAATTTATTTTATTCCCTTCCATCATTCCTTGATTAAATTTTGCTAAATTACAAACTATACTAATATACCTAAAAGACCAATATACCCAAAATACGTAATAAGTGTAAATATTCAATGCACGTATATATAGAATAAACAGTATAAAATATAAAGAAATACAAACATATAAATAAAAATCGGAATAAATAAAAACGAAAGTTATTACTGTTTTGTTATTTTGAATTTTATTCTCTAATACTGGAATATAAATATATTTTTAATTTTATTAACTTATGAAATTTGTAATTTGAGAAATACAACTTTTATACCATGGACAAAAGAAATTCTATCCATCTTTTATCACACCCCCACATGGAATATTTTTATTTTGGGCTGTATTCTTCTTATATCCGACTTTATCTTGTCGTGAACGCGAACCAAAACACGGGAACAATAAATTATTTTATGCTGAGTACCAAACGTAACCTTAAATTGAGCTGAATGACGAAACGGTGCGTTTCAGGCAGCTAATGCCTGGGTTTTTTTGGCCCTTCCCTACTTCCCTCCAAAAATGGAAACACATCGGAGCAGGAGCGTCTTCTTCACCTTCGGACTCGTTCGAGAGGGAGCAGAGGAACCGAAGAATCTGTTCAAGACCAGCCTTCATATTCAGTAGCGAGATAGAGAGGGGGCTGAGACGAACCCAAATGGCATCGACCTCGGCGGCGGCGGCGGCGCGGACTGGTGGCGTCACCGGACGGATACGGCACGCCGCCGTGACGCTCCACGACGACAATCAAGCACTCGTCACTGTAATCAATCTCTTCGATCAATGCGTTTCTCCACCTGCTGCTGCTTTGGATTTTTCTCTTTTAAAGATTTGATGTCGATTCAGTGCTCGCTCACGGAAACTGTAGACATGGCTTGCCTCGCTCAGAGTTTTTAACCCTAGAACGTTTTACTCATTATAGAATGAGCGGCTTACCCCGTTCTTTCTTTCTTGGGAATGTAGCGTGTGGAAATAGTGCTTAATCACATCCTCTGCCCGTCTGTGTTATGCTTCCACTTTTTGAAGAAATTTAGGGGGTTTTCTGCGCGTTTTGGATTTATTTTGTTTTGTGCGTTTCCCAGGAATTTTTGAAGGCTTTCGGCATGTTAAAGGAAGTTGCTGTTGCTCTGGAGAAAGACAATCAGACTCAAAAGGTACTTTTGGATTAGGAGAATTCAGTCTGTTTATCAATTTCTACCTCCTGTCCATATATTAATCGCAGACTTTTTCTAAGGACTTTTTTCTTTTGGTTGTTGCAGAATACTATGTTACTATTTCTCTCAGGCATTATGTGCATTGTTTTATGCTCCCTGTGGCTGTAAATGTAGTTTTGTTGGAAGAAGTGGGCAAAAGTTATGATTTTGAAAAGTATCTATTTGCTGCTAGATTCAAGCATTAGCTTAACCCCTGTCGGGTTCTTGCCAATTCTGATTTCTGTGAAGTACGAATCATAATTTGATGGGATATTTCCTTAATGTTGTTCATTTCACATGGGAATACTTGATTTTCAGTTACAAGTTACTGAAACTACCGTAATGATGCAGACTGCAAAATAGCAGAGAAGCAAGTTTTCTTTGACTAAGAATCTATGGTCCATACTGACTAGAAGTCTCTGGATTGCATTATAAACAAGCTTGAGCATTGATGCTGTAGTACAATTGTCCCAAGTTTTTCTTTTGGCGAACCATTTGGGCAGAGTTGGCATAATCAACCGTGTCATACAAGCAACCTTAGCTTACAATGCAAAGTAGATTCACCGGAGTTGATACAACTCTGTGGACTGTGGCTTTATAGATGGGTCGGGAAGTTATTTTATTGTCCCCTAACTAGCATGATGGTATATGACCTGCTGAATTGATTGCTTGACATTTGCCAGGTGGAAGAACTTGAAAATGCGGCTGTGGAGTTGCTGCAAACTTATGAAGATTGTACACATTTGTCAACAGCTATCAAATCTGTTGGTGATACATATGAGCCTGGTGCTGAGGTAGCTAATTTCTTTCTTTGGGGGACTGTTTTGCCCGCTGAAAAGTAAAGTATAGTGTTTCCGCTTGGTGTTTTAGCCAATAAATATTTGGTTTGATATCCAAAATGCAGCTAACTGATTTTGGTAAGCTATTTGACAACGAGATTGCAAAGCAAAAGTCAAGTTCATCAACAGATCCACAAAACCACCCATTAATACGCCAATTTAGGGAAGCAGTATGGGTATGACTTCTACTTCTGTTACTGAACTGTCCCCTCTGGCTCTAGTATTCGTATCTTTTATGACTATTTTCTCCTACAGCAAGACGAGGCTTTTGGATGGAAAATATCCCACCTGTCACACATTGGTCGTCATTCTGGAAAATTTGTTTTTGATAACCATGTCTTGATCATCATCTTCTGAGAGAAGTATTCTCATTGGCCTTTTTTTTTTTTTTCCTATTTTGGATTTGCAGAATGTTCATCATCGTGGCCAGCCTATGCCTGGTGAAGAGCAGGATGATGTCATCATGACCAGTACCCAGGGCAACCTTTTGAATGTCGCTTGCCCATTGAGTGGAAAGCCGGTTACCGAACTGTCGGCTCCTGTTCGCGGGTACTGCACTTGCTTCCATTTTGTCCAACTGTGATGAAAATTCATGATATCATTTGATGACTGAGTCTCGTGACAACTCTCGTTGGTCTGGATTTCCCATCCTTGAATTTTCTTTTTAATATTTGACTTGAAGTTTGGATTTTAAATTGTGGAAACTCTTGCCCTCTGGAAGGATCTCGGGTAACTTAATCCTCTACTATGATAAAGGCAAAGCATGATTAATTTTCATACAATTAGTTGACTGGGCATTTTTGGTGAATCATTAGGCCATTATATTAATTTTCGTGTGAACTGGCTCGGGACGGATTGGTTTATTTAGAACTGCTGGATGATTTGAGCATGTTCCAAGAGTTCACTTCTGGAAACTTCCCACTCGTAGAATAAAAAAAAACTCATTTCTTGATAAACCAGTCTGTTTTCTTGGACAAGTAATGACAAACCATTCATCGTAGAAAGTGAAGTCAGTTTTTTGACTTGGGCTCAAGCGATGAAAGTAAAGGTAGACAAGGCGCAAAGGCTCAGTGTTCTTTCTACCTCTATTTGGTTTAGCCATGCCTTATTGAAGTCCTTTATTGGATTGTCTCTGGTGGTTTGTTTACCTGTTTTACTTATTGGACCAGTCTACTCTGTGCAGTGTGGAGTGCAAGCATATATATGAAAAAGAGGTTATTCTGAATCATATCAGGTCCAAGGGTGGGAACTCGAAGTGTCCTATTGGAGGTACTCAGACAGTCTTTTCAATTAAGGATTCGTTTCTTTTAAACATTCTAAAGTTTTCCCTGCCCATCTCAATCTCGATCTTTACCTTCTTCACTTTCATTCCATAGAGTAACAGAAACATGTATTTTCCTTTGTCATTTGCTGCCAGCTTGCCCTAAGGTACTGTCAGCAGATAAAGTAAGTTGCGACCCTGTGTTACTTTACGAAATCGAGGAGATGCGCAAACGGAATGCCGGGACTGAAGTAGTTGAAGATTTTACCGCGCTCGGTGAAGAAGGAGATGATTGATGGAGATGATTCTAACCGTTGCTGACCAAATTATCCTGGAAAAAGCAACTAGGCTTGCTAACGTTTTTCGAACTGCTAAAATAGAAACGAGTTTGTACAGAAGATGTTAAACTTAAATCCATCGCCACCTTCTATATACTGTCCCTTGTAGTGTTTCATGCTTCTTTTGTCCTCCCATGATTGTGGGTGGTATATGACAAATATGTCGGTTAACTGCCGAGGATTGTGGTTCAAGAACATAGAAAAGACTGGCCCTCTTGCCACATTGGTGTATTCTTGGTGAAAGTTTCATTCTTGTTGTTGCCCTCTCTCTGTAGGAATGTCTCTCTGAAATTGTGGTCAAGAAGTGGGTACCTGCGCAAAGGCATTTTTAATTCGCTTCAAATGGAACAGATAATGGTCTAGGAAGAATTTGTTTAGTGTTGTTTCTTAACTGCGCTTAAAGTTATCGGTTTTTTCGAAATACAAATAGTATTTGATAATATGTAATGTAAATATTTCACTTTAGTTAAATGCTGTTCGGAAAATATCAAATCCTTAAAAACTCAAACCTCGAATCTTTTGGCATTCGGCGCGACCCCATGCTGCTCTCGCCGGCGCCGGATCAGATAATTTGGCGCTCTTCAGCAGTAGCGACCTGACCGCGTATGTCCGGCGACGGCCAGAATTGTGCCCGCGAAGTACATGAAATTTAAGCAGACGGGCAAATCCAAAACCAAGAAGCGATGGCGGCTTCATCTCTCTCCCGAGTCCTCCCTCTGTCTAGGGTTTCGCCTCATCGTTTCCCTCTTCTCTCCCCCTCCATCATCTCCTCCTCCCTCGCCGGACCTCGCGCCTTCCGTCGTCTCCCTGCTTCCTCCCTCTCCGCCGCTCCTCACATGTCGAGTCCCTCCCAACCCGCGCGCCACGACCACCCGTCGTCCGCGAGCACTAGTTACGCTCGCGACGCCGATCGCTGGAGGCCAATGTGTTTGTACCACACCCAGGGCAAGTGCACCAAGGTAGTTTTCTCCGCCTTCTTACAAGTTGCTGGAAGCTATCTAGTGTTTCTGCTCCTTAAATCCGTGATTTCGATGGTCTATGGTAGTGAAGTCCTAAGTTTCCATTTGTCTGGTTTGCTCCTTTTCAAGACGTTCCTCGTTTCTTTGGCGAACGGAATTCCTCACTGGCTTTTTATACCTTCTTCCTGGCACAATGGAAGGTGGTTCACCGTTTACGTTCGTGCATAGCAAGTACCTGATACTGGAAATTTGTTCGCTTGACGCGATTGCACGGAATAATACTCCCATCTGCGGGTAGTTGGGCTTTCTGGAAGATGATGAGGAATTTCGATGCCTGGATGCCATCTTTTTGGTCTTTGTGATCACTGAGCTTTCGATTATTGTGGCCTGACTTTTGACTTCGACAACATGTTGATTAGTGTTTTCCCACCACGAAAATTGAGATACCGGTGTCAGTTTCGTGCGAGCATGGATTTGTTTGGATCTATTGAAGCATTTGACATAACTGCAGCGAGCATGTGTGGCTTCAGTATGAGGCCATTTTCGACTTCAGTTGTCTAATTGAAGTTATTCTGACTTTCAGATGGATGATCCTATCCACCTTGAGAAGTTTAATCACAACGCTGCCAGAGATCTTCGAGTTAGTGCTGCTGACCTTGAACACGTGTGCCCTCAAGACCTAGATCATTTTTTGGTGCTTGATTTGGAAGGAAAAGTCGAGATTCTGGAATTTCCAGTCTTGATCATTGATGCTAAATCGCTGAGTGTCGTAGATTTGTTTCACAGGTCTTACTCTGCCCAATTCTTGAATTCCAGTTCAACTGTTTGATTGTAAAATGCTGGAAATGTGGATTTTTTATACACATTTTACTCTTCCAGACCGAATGTTAATTAAGAATGCGTTTTGGAACCCTTGTTCATTTTTTCTTTGTGGCCCATGGGCCATTATCTGTTCATGAATATTCTCTCTCCTTTTCCAATTCCAACTCTTTTGGTTGGATTCACGCTTTCTTCTGTGTTTGTTGGGAAAATTCTGAAGTACGAACATTTGTTTTCTGTTGGAGGGGAGCAATTGCATCTTCATATTATGCAACGGAGTAGAACGGAACAAGGAATTTGTGTCCTCTGTTTTTTGTGAATTATGTTTGTGTCTATCTCGTTTGGGATAATGAGTCTGGTCTCATACTATGTTCTGTGGTCTATATTTGTGATCAAATTTTCTGTGTAGTTCTTATTAAGTTTGTTGATGGAATTTATGATGAATTTTATTTGCTTGCATTTTAATTTTCTTCTCATGATTAGTTTACAGGTTCGTAAGGCCGTCACAAATGTCCGAGACTAGAGTAAATGAGTATATTGAAGGAAAATATGGAAAATTTGGGGTTGATCGGTAAGTTCTTGGTTTGCTCTTCTACTCTGTCATGCTTGGCTTGTGCAGTATCCTCTTGTATGGCGCATCCAATAGAGGAGGACGTTAAGAACCGCAATTACTGTTGCCACCTACTAGTTTTTCTGCCTGATTAATTGTTACAACGATATAGTGCAATGAAACTAATTTGATGCGTTTTGAAATTTAGTGGCAAATTTTCTCCGACATATAATTGTGGATATTCATCTCTAAATGCGAATGTGCAGTGTCTGGCATGATACAGCAATATCATTCGAAGAAGTCATTGGCGAATTTGAAACTTGGTTGGCTCAACATCATCTTTGGGCAAAGGAGCAAGGAGGCAAGCTTAATCGGGCAGCATTTGTAACTTGGTGAGTTACCATGTGTTCATCATGGAATGTTTGGCTTTCAGACACAAAAAAGAATTGTGACGGACTGGAAGCTATGTTAAGAAAGAACCCTGAAATCAGATAAATCTTCTGCGCAGTGCTTCCTGGTAGTAATTAGTAGCCCGTTATAAGTTGATTTCACCTTTTCTAACAGCAATATGCTTTGAGATGAGCTAATATGCACCCTAAATGCCTTATAGATCAGAAAAATTGGAATTTAATAATGAACGTTAGTTTTAGTCCTAACTCCTAATGGGGCAAGCACAATCACTCACAATTCTGCTTGATATCTTATTACTGGCTCCTATTGGTTGGTTGCAACTTTGAGAGTTGCAAGTTTTAATTCCGCAATATTGACTAGCGGCATGCATAATGTAGTTTGCATTCTATCCTAGACTTTTTCTGGCAAAACATTTCTGAGATGGAGAAAGGCAGAGATGAGAAGCTGACCTACCTGGCCTGTTTTTGTTCTTCCCTTGACTATATATTGAAGTTTGTTTACTTGTTTGATGTTTTGTTTAACCTTAGAATGCAAGTGTTTCCTATTGATTAGTCTAGTTCAGATGCCCACCCAGACATATATATATGTTGACACTTCTTTCACTGACTTTTTTAATCTGCTGCCCCAGTGCATCTTTAGTAACCTTTTTCTAGAACTGAACTGTCTAAAACTATAGAGAAAGGGAGAGTGTTGAGCTATGGGGAATATGTTGATATACCTGTCTGCCTGAGGATATATTTTGAAAGGAGGGGGGAAAAGCTGTTCTCAGCAATATGGTGACCTAAGTTGTGATTGACTAATCCACTGAAGGATGGAAAAATGGAGGCAACCGTGGGTTTGCTAATGTATATTTGCTCTGTTTGTTTTAGCGGAAATTGGGATTTGAAAACTAAGGTCCCTCAGCAATGCAAAGTCTCGAGAATAAAACTTCCTGGGTATTTCATGGAATGGATCAATCTGAAGGATGTCTATCTAAACTTCTACCACAGAGAGGTAAGTTTATGCTTTGGTTTGTTATGCGTGACTTTTCCGATTTGGCACTTGTCGTACACCTTGTTGATTTGCTGGAACTTTGCTCTTCAAACATACCAGGAGTTAAAAAGCAGTCTGATTCTCGATACATGATTGAGGTTCTTGTTAGGAACCATTCATTGCGAGACCAAACTGTGCCTTTTGAATTAATGCGGTGCGTCGTTTCTTCTTCTGCTTGATATGTTGCTTATGTTATTATGACAGGCCAGAGGAATGATGGCAATGATGAAGCAACTAGATATATCGGTCTTGGGAAGTCACCATCTCGGAATGGATGATACCAAGAACATAGCGAGGGTGTTGCAACGCATGCTTGTCAATGGTGCTGTTATGAGGATCACTGCATGGAGGAGCCCCAAGTCTCCTGATAGAATTGAATTTGCATACAAAAATCGTATATAACTGCTAATGACAAAAGTTCTGCTTTTTAATGAGTGATTTGTGTGTATTATGGAGGGCGTTCTGGCTCGTTTATTGGGCAAGGTTTAGCTGCACCTCGCCAGGGCGACGGATCAGTGAAGGACAAAAGGGACTCCAATGGAGAACCGTAGACCTTCGATGCCAAGAGACTCGCCGAAAAATTGGCCGCCGGGGAGGAGTTGGACCGCGAGAACCGGTCCCATTGACGAATTTAACTCCACGGGAGCGTGGGTTTGAGTCCCATAGATACACAAAAGGAGTGTCGATGAAGCACTGCCCTTTTTGGTTTCAAGGTCGCATGTTGTAAGAATCTCTCTTCTGGGCAATTGCTTGAACAGCAGAAGTGTGGAAGGCAGTGAAGTGTTTGAGCATTTGATGACAAAATGTCTACCTTGGAAAAAAGAAAATTAAAGACAGAACCTTTCTTTCTTCTCTTTGTTCAGATGGCATTAGTTGCAAATTGTTTTTAAGATGAATGAACAAGAACATAATTAGATAAATATGCCCTCTCTTTTTTTTCTTTTTTCGGGTCGAAAAAATATACCGTCTTAGTCCTATCGACAACTAATATATAGTTTATTTATCTTTTAATAAAACAGCAATTTGTGTAATTAGAACTGGTGCTGCTACTTTTAGATGTCCCCCCTACAAATTACAAAAGAGACCTGCCCCGCATAAGTGCCGTTGGTCCTCCCGGTCCCTACTCCTTAATATTTCCAGCGCATCTACGTATGTCGCCTCCTATTTGGCGGCAAAATTTTGGTCGGACAAGGAACCAGCAGACGCCATTGGTGCAAATCTTCACCCGCTTTGAAATTCAATCCACGCTCTCGACGGGGCGCGTCGTTGGAAATTTTGACTTTCCATACTTTGAAAGTACGTATTACCGGACGAAATTAATGAATTTTCTCCTCTTTTTTAATTATCTTTAAACATTTCGAGCATCTATTATTTGTGATACGATGTAAATGATATTTTTTTGGG